GATATACATATCAGAGGATCTATAGGTTGTACAAATGCAATGTGCAAACCGTACACTGGAGAAAAGTATTGTTAATCTTCACGTGAATATCATCTTGCAATTCAACTTCTCCGTGTCTGAGTCAGACTGGTGCTGTGAATTCACGGATATTGCTGCAGTATAAATACTTTTGTAACAAATCAAATTTGTTGTGTATAACACTTACACATTTTACTAGAAGCTTGCCACATTCCATTTAGATACACATAGTAAATTCGGAATTTTAGTCAATATTCCTTCTCCATTGGATTGACCCCGTGCACATTTGGTTAAAAGTCATGTCTTTATATATATCTAAGCTTCTTTAAAATATATATTTTTTTTAATACTTGTTAAATGCTGTTATTGAACTTTGCTGGTTTCACAGTCTATGAAACACTTTAATAAGGAAGAAGCTCATTGTGAAAGTTGACAGTGTTAAAGTGGAATTTTAACAAAGTTTGGCTAAACAGTTTTAAAAGCTGGCAATAAATGTTAATAATAAATAATATATTTCATTAAACTATCAACTGAGTAGCTGATTGAAAAATTTATAGTAGATTTAAATTTACATAAATACATCTACTAATATGAAAAACATTTTTAAATTTCAGAACTTATTGGATGCTTGAAATAAGATCCTTGTATACAGATATCTGAAGACCAAATTTTCAAAAAAGAAAAAAACAGAACAGAGAAGATGGTTTAAGACATAATAATGATTTTATGTCAAGATATTAGAATTTATTCAATTCCCTAACTTACAGAAATTTGTTTGCAGGGTATACTACAACCACTATTATTATCAATTTTGAAACTATATCCACAAAAAGCCAAGTTCTCTGTACTAAAGTTTGAGGAATGCTTTCCTTTATACATGTTGGAGATAAGCCATTTATGTGTATTTTGTAATCATATTGTACTTTCTTAGCTATTCTAAATATTCTAATGTAAGAAAATTCCATATATGAGGGGATAACTTGTAGGTTTTAAAATTAGCATGTATTTTTACACATCTAGTCATATAAAGCAAGCCATTAATAATTATTTGTACACTTGTTTACAGTTACTTGACTAGCACCAAGAAACTTTGTTCACTTTAGATGGGTGAATTTATGTTTATGTAAAATAATTTAAGTAAATACGTAGGTTTAAGCCATATCGTGTGAAACAAGAACTGATTTGGAGTTATATGTACATTTTATGACACCATTAAGATTCTCTTAATATTTTTTCTTTTTATCGTGTTTCAAGAAAGATTGTAACTGTTCTTGTTGTAAAAATAAAACACTATATGCCAATAACAGTGTTTTAAAAAATGTGTTCTACTTTTTTTCTTCAAAGTTACTATGGTTATGTTTGTGATTATGTTTTCATTCATAGAAGTCAATTGAAAAGTAGATTCCTTTACAATATAAGTGAATTTACTTTCAGGCTTTTAATTGGTCCAGTTAATGTACACAAACCACTCATTTCAAAATAGTCCAGTTTTGTGGTGTACAATGAATAAGGCTAAAAAAACTTCTAGTTTCGGATTCCCTACCAAAAATATAAGGTAGGAAGCTTTTTAAGCTAAATGTTTCTAACTAAAATGTAAAATTGTTTTTCTTCCCATATTGGAACAAATATACCAAAAAATGGTCAGAGAAACAGAACCACTTTTTGGGGACTTAAGCTAGCAAACTATAACGTTTTATAATTATATATAAAACATTATATATCTAATAACAATAACATTGGCCATTATACTTGTTATCAGTCTGGTTAATCAGATCAATGTCACTTCAATAAGCATTTACAAAATAAAAACTAATCAGAACGAAAATATGTTGCTGGGTCAGAATTAAAAAAAAACAACATTTTGCAGAGTGTACATGCACACATTGTGTCTTTTCTACACATTATTTAAATTTGGAGTTCTTCATAAATTAGTCTTTCACAAAAGCTTTTTTGATAATATTCACAATATATGAAAAGTTTATTTGTGTATTTAATGTTTGGATATAATTGTGTGTATTTTCTAGTGTGGTTTTTTTTTAATGTCTATTTTTTTTGTTGCATTATTTTTGCCTTAACAATAGAAAATTTACTTTGAATAACTTCCCTTTCCCATATTTTAGATTAACTAATTTCAGTTATGGGTAGAAGTGAAAACATTTGAACAAAAAAGTGACATGGTTTGTATTTTCATCATGTTATCAATTTGTTTTTTTCTTGAGGAAATAGCCATATGTTGAATATTATTGCTGAGAGCTTAATGTTACACCTTGTTGGTTAGATCAGTGAAGGTAAAATGTCACAGTTAAATATGTTGATTTGATGTAGTTTTAAAATATACAAACACCCTTACATCCACTCCATCCTCAGTGGTAAGTCTTAGGGAAAATAAAGGGTTTCAGTATTTGTTGGGAGAAGAGTATGTATAGCTTTGTGCTTAACAATAAAACCCCTCTCCCCACCCCCAAAAGTTTGAGGCTATTCAGATTTTCAGCTAACTTTAGAATCCAAGTTTTCTTCACTTCTGTATGCTCTGAGTTATAAAACTTTCTGCATATTGTTATTAGATAAAACCTGTACAATGACCTGGTGAGAGCTAGTATTTGTTTTCCATCATATGAGGATCGGGGTGATCGTTTAGTGCCAGATACCCTTTCATTTTCTTTTAGTTCATAAGCTTTTTTTTTTTTGAAATTCAGTCATTCTCTACGTCACTTCTCACTTGAATGTTCTTTGATGCCATGATTATTTGTAACAGGAATTATTTGTTCATGCACTCAAATCATACATCAACTCACTGGAATGGCATTTATTTCCATAAAAAACTTCTAACAGGAACTGTTTTCATACATCTTCATAATAAATATCTCTATAGCACAAATTTATACACATTATAGGATTAAATAAAGCATTTTTATGTGAAATCAGTTAAAAAAATAAAAATGAACTCAATCCAACTTAAATTGTAATTTCACAGAGTTTAAAGAACAAAAGTAGCTACAAATCGTGTGCTATTTTTCAACAATTGAACTGTCTAAAATATACAAACATAGTGAACGTAATGTATTTCTTATTAACTGAAGCACAGGACTTGTTAGTTTACAATTCATAGTTAGATACACATCTGCATAACAGGTGGTGGGCCAGGCAAACCCCAATGGCTGTTGTGTTGGGCTATAGATGTGAATGTTCAAGGTTCAAACTGTGATAAAGAATTGAACACATTTTCAACCATGAGAACATTATAGCAGTAACACTCATTACAACTGTATGGGTAAGAATAGCAACGTAAGGACAGGTGATGCTGACTGGCAGTCTACTTTCTGATCAACAGTTTAAATAACAGTTGACTATGCCTATCATGGGATCGCAACCTGACATCAAACATGGCTCTCTTTTCAACAGTGGAGTGTGTTATAATGTGATGTTCCATCTCTCTATTCATTGGTAAAAGAGTAGCTGCTGGCTGGTTGCTTTGCCTCTGGTCAGTAGTTGAAAATTAATGACAGCAGTAGATAGCCTCAGTAGCTTTAGCTAAAAGAAAACAAACAGAAACAAATGATTATGCCTAAATCTTTGGATCTGGCCATTTAGCTTGTGTCATATAACAAGAGGACAGACACAAGAGTGTGGAAGATATTTAACAAGGCTAATGCATTAGTAATTGTATACTTCAACTGAAAATTAAGTGGCCAGTATATCTAATAGCTATGTTTTCTTCAGTTTGTATACTAATTTCAATTGTTGACATATAATATTGAAATTTTAAGAGTTTTGGTTTCTGCATGAGAATATTGGACAATTTGCATCTTTTCTCAAAACCAAATTTGGTTATTATTGGTCAACAACAATAAAAAATATAATATTAATTTTTCTGAATAATTTGATGGCCTACAAGAACTTGCATGTTTAATGTATGTGTTTGCAATTGATGTGAATCAGATGGAATGGTTGGAACTCATAAACACTAATGAATTGCATTGAAAGGACTGAACTGATCACTGAATGAAACTTGATTTTAAGGGTTTATATTATCTGACTGATCTGCATTATAAATTATATAATGCCTAGAAGCCCACCTCTTATGATTAATTTTTCAAGAAACAAACTAAATTAAACTTATATTTATACATCTTGGTATCTACTACTAATGATAAATTCAGGACTAAACATACTTTATTTTTCATTTAACTTTAGTAATAGCTAATATTAAGCTAAAGCTAGTTTATTACATGACTTACCTATACTGAGTGATAAAAAAGTCATTGGCAGACAATTTACAAATGTAAAGGTACAGGAAAATAATTGTGAGTGGTAGGGAATGAAGTGTTGTGGGTTTGCTCTATGATAACACCACTGAAGTAATTAAAGGTCATGTCCTTTGAAACTATCATTAACATGCATTAGCACTAAAAATGTTAACTGTAGAGGTATAGGTAATACAAATGAAACATTTTAAAATGAAAAATATTAAATTTGCTCCAAAACATCAGTTATAGGAATAAGTGCAAAAAAAGGTTAACATTCTAATAGTAATTGTGGTAAACAATTAATTGATGTGTTCAAAGTGCTGCCCAAATATGACAAATGCCAGTATGTTGGTTTCATTGTTCAATAATTATTACTGTTCTTCGTCAGTGTGTAAATAAGCTGCTCCCAAATCATTTGAATAATGACACAGTTTAAAAATAGTCCTACTTTATGGAGAATGTCCCTAGAATGCCAGGCTTGCTCCTAGATTGTACACTGAACGTAATTACTCACACCAAGTGATAGGAAACATGTCAGCAACTGCTTACTACAGGCTCCGGCACAATGCTTGTGTGCTACCTTATTTGGGGAAGTTATAATTTTCCTATACTGAAAATGTATTTCCGATAGGTACTTACCTTCTCTCACATAAATAGCTATTCTCGTTCAGTGTTGCCCTCTATATGTACAAATGTTTTCGCATGCCACAAGCTTTGAAGCTCCCACCCATCTTTGAATCGACTGATTCAAATGCGTCTCACACTAAAACATCATGCGATAACCCTCCACCAATAAGAGTGCAACAACCTCTCTTAACGTATGTGATTCCCTAATTTTAGTTCGAGTTTTGGCAGAAAATGGGAGCACCAGTTTTCAGTGGGGAGGAAGGATGGGAAGTGTGATAGGAGGTAAGTACCTATCAGAAATACATTTTCAGTATAGAAAAATTATTACTTCCAATACGGTACATTACCTCCTCTCACAAATAGCTAGAATCCCACATTGAAAAGATGGAGGGACAAGTGTGAGGTAAAGAAAGAAGCATCCTTCGAAAGTGTCTCAAAGAGTAGATCCTCGTAGTAGAAGATCATACATGGGAGACTGCACCACTTCTGTACCAGGTGTACTCTTTGCCTATAGTGGAAAAATGGAGGAGCACATCCAAGTGGAAGAGAACTATGTCAGGATAGGGATCTGAACCATACTATATTTATTAAACTCAATCCCAGAAAATAAAAAGTGGGTAAGATGAAAAGGATGTGCTCCTAGATGTCGAGTGGCTATGGTGCAACAGACTGTACACAGCAAGTCAACTACATCCAAAACCCATGCCCTGGGAACCGACATCCACACAGGGTAGAATGAGGATCATACCATTGGTAAGTCATCTACAATCCAATACCCAGCTACTGGGTACCTACATCCATGTGGGGGTAGAAAGAGGATCATACCACCAGCAAGTCAACTAGAATCCAAAACCCAGCTATCTAGTGGGGATTAAGAAAGAAGATCATACTGTCTTCACCTCAAGTTCATGAGACCAGAGGAAATCCCGTACCCCATGAACCATGAGTGGGGCACGTGATAACAATGTGAAAAATTGATCGATCAATCCAGGAATCAGACATCTGGCATTGAAAAGATGTCTGTGTAATGTAAGCCAGCTCACTGAAATTTAAAATTACAGGAACTGCCTCAAGCACAGTAACATCCTCGGAATAAGAACATTGAGGGATAGTGGAAGAGGAAGAACCGTAGTAATCTGCAAGTACCTCCATCATGACCCACATTGTGAATGGAGTAACAAGAGTATAAATGAGTGAGGGAATATAGACATCTATAATACATGTGTGAGGACGTATTTTGACTGGTTCATCTCTAAACCCAAATGCCAAAACTGACATCCACGTGGGGTAGAATGAAGGATCCAAATTGAAGGGATGAATTGCAATTTTGATGGCACATTCCACTGTTACATAGTAGAGGATATCTCGTCATCTACAGTAGCAGAATACCACCACCCTACTCTCAACTGAGTGGCCTTTATAATCACTTA